TTTAGGGTTTAGGGTTTACCTTTGATGCAGCACTTTCTGAATTCCATGAAGTTTTGGGTCAAAGTCCCCGTCTTGTCCGAAAAAAGATATTTAACTTGTCCAAGTTCTTCATTTAAATCGCTGGTGCGGGGCCACGCGCCCTGTCTGGGTTTAGCTGCTGCTGCTGCTGCTGCTGCTGCTGCTGCAGCAGCAGCAGCAGGCGCAGCAGCAGCAGGAGGGGCGGGAGGGAAGGAGCAAAGGCTCTTGGACGAGTTGCCCCTGAGCCTCGCCAGATCCCCCTGCGCCGTTCCTGCTGCTGCTGCTGCTGCTGCTGCTGCTGCAGGAGCAGCAGCAGCAGCAGCAGGACTCGGAAGATAGATCTTGGTTTCTTTTTGAAATGCTGCTGAGTTGCTGCTCATGTCTTTGTCTTTGAAAATAAAAAAAGCTTGAAGAGCTTTCACCATTCCCATTTGAACCACCAATGATATCGGAACCATGTTGCAAGTCAACACCATCCACGTGAAGAAACTCACAAACCCTGCACCCCTAAACCCTAAACCCTAAACCCTAAACCCTAAACCCTAAAACCCTAAACCCTAAACCCTAAACCCTAAAGAAGGGCGAAATGTTGCACAGCGAAGTCAACAAACTGTTCACCAACGCGGGGGTGTTTCCCGCGCCCTGCATAAACCCTAAACCCTAAACCCTAAACCCTAAACCCTAAACCCTAAACCCTAAACCCTAAACCCTAAACCCCCCTAAACCCTAAACCCTAAACCCTAAACCCTAAACCCTAAACCCTAAACCCTAAACCCTAAACCCCAAACCTCCCTATAATCCCAATACTGCCTCGGGCGGTTTACGTTCGCGTCCGCGTAGTACCGCGCCACGTTTGGCTGCGCTGTCTTCCAAACTGCCCCTCGTGAAGCGCCACCTGGAGGCCTTCGCAGTCACTATTCTCGCAGTGGTCTAAACCCTAAACCCTAAACCCTAAACCCTAAACCCTAAAACCCTAAACCCTAAACCCTAAACCCTAAACCCTAAACCCTAAACCCTAAACCCTAAACCCTAAACCCTAAACCCTAAACCCTAAACCCTAAACCCTAAATTAGGGTTTGGCGTGCCTGAGAGGGGGCAGTACTGGGACATGTGGAGGGCTCCGTCGGGGGGCAGTTCGAGTTTGGTGTCCACTCTGTCGAGACACCCCACGGCCGCGTCCCAGCGAAAGCGCTTCACATTTATTACCAAATATTCGCAAGGCAGCCGATAAAGAATTTGCTGCACTTCTGCTTCTTGCCGCGACTTGCAAAACGGACAGTCCAGCTCCCGCTGCTCCTGCAGCAAAGGCAGCAGCAGCAGCACAGCAGCAGCAGCAGCAGCAGCAGCAGCAGCAGCAGCAGCAGCAGCAGCAGCAGCGGCGGGGGGGTTGATTTTTGCGGTTTTGATGAGAGCCCCAGGAAGCTGTTGTCTGGGGAGAGTAGTTGGCTTTCTGGAGTTGAAAAAGAAGAAAAGAGGAACTAAATAAATAAAAACAAATAAATAATAACAAATATAATAAGAATAATAATAAATAAGAAGAATAAATAAAGAAAGACTCACTCCCTGGCTGGAGTAGGACTTGCCGAGCATCTTGTCGAGGGTTTCTGCGCCGCGGGCCTCCTGCTGGCTGAACTCGACGGGCAAGTCGAGGAAGTTGTCGAAGCGGTGGCGGACTTTTTTGCAAGTTTTGCAAGTTATAATTGTTGCATGTTGGCCGGCAAATAAGTCCGTAATAACAGACTGTTCATCAGCAAGGCTGGCTTTCCAGAAGCGGTCGCTGCCGCGCTGCAGCAGCTCGCCGGGGCGGTCTTCAAGTTGAACTCTGCGGGCCGGGCGGCGAATTCGGTTGCAATCCGCGGAAAGCCCGTCTAAAAAGGTTCTTAAGAACTCGTGCGCGTCGTTTTGACGGTTAATCGCGAACTCGGGGTGCTCAGAACGCAGAATGCTCAAAAGTGAACTGCAGTTGAGGCGCGGCGCGGCGCGCGCAGCCGGGAGCTGCCCATACACCTGACGCAGCAGCTGCACCCACGCTGCGCAAAGTCGCCCCCGAAAGCGCGAACGAACTTCCGCGGAAAACCGCCGGTTTGCGGCGTTGTGGAGAAACCAGAGACAGAACTGCCGCGCGGAGAACAAGACCTGCAGCACGGCGTTGCAGTAGCACGTGTTCCCGCTGTTCTCCAGGCCCACCACCCGCCGCTCGCACTGCCAAGGCCCTTCCATCCCCGATATATCCTTCCAATATTAATTAATTAATTAGCAATTCAACAGACTCTGCTGCTGCGGGCCGCAAGCAGCAGCCGCCGCCGCCCCAGACCCTCAGCCGACCCGCCGCGGCTGCTGCCCGCAAAGCCTCCCAAGATCTGCAGCTTTCCCGCCAAAGAACCCGCCAAGGGCCCGCTGAATGAGTCCGAAGTTGAGTTCGCCTTTCTTTGCTTCCCTCGGGGCGGCAAAGCTCGTCCAAAATCGCAGGAGATCCACTGAGCCCACATGGGTGCCACGCGGTGGGTGGTGCTGCTGCTCTTGAACAGGCGCCGCGACGCGCCCTGAGGCGAGCCCGAAGTCCCTTTTCCTATTCTAAAGCTGCCTTTTCAACAAGCGGCCCCTTTTGAGTCCGTTTGGAGTCCCGAGAAGACCGAGATCTTCCTTCTCTCCGCTGTCTGCAGCCGCGCGGCTCTCGGTGGGTGATGGCGGTGAGCCCGCAGCCCGGCGATTCAGCACAGCCGAGCCGCATTCAAGGCCCTCCAGCCGTTGAACTGAACGAGAACAAACAATTAATTCAAGCAAAAGAAAAAGTGATGGAGTTCGGCCGCCGTTTCAGCGCGATCAGCCACCGCCGAGCTCCTCATGCACTGGCAGGAGCGCCAGTGCAACTTGACCTGTCCAGCGCGGCGTGTCTCGTTCGGCCTTCGCCAGTTCTTTTTCAAAACAAACTTCAAATTCAAATAAAGCAAACAAAGTGCTTCAAATTAATCTATTTATTGCCCACTTTCGCCCGTTTCAAGACTCAGGAAGGCGCTCGCCGCACCGTCGACAGGGCTGCAGTTCCGATTCAGCTGCGCCGGCAGATCGCAAACTATTTCCCACAAATGCCTTTTCTGCGGCTTTAATCTGAATATTTTCTAAATTCCTTTTAGTTTTTCTTTCATTAGAGCAAAAGATGACGCGAAAATCCGCGGAGTCCAGCGGCGCGCGCGGCGCTTGCTGCTGCTGCTGCGGTTTCCGCAGCGCAAGCCTGTCCAGCTTTCTCTGCAGCTGAAACGCAGCAAAGTGGACCCCCCAGAAACTCTTTTTCTTTATTTTCAAAGAGATCTGACTTCTCTTGAGATCAAACTGAAGCTTCTAATGGCTAAGCTTCCGCTGAATTCGCCGCGGCCAAAAACGCGAAATAACAAAAGTGGCGGCCGTTTTGAATTTCGGAATTTGCAAATTTGAGGTGTCTGTACACCGCGCACGCACAAACTTGAATTTCCGCCAACAGCCACTTCAGTCACTTCTTTTGAACTTCCCGAAAACGCCCTCTGCTCTCAACTGCAGAAAATTATCTTTTGTTCTTTTTTTATTTTCCATTCTTTGCAATTTTCACTTCTTTACTTTCTCTTTTGCTGCTAAAACTGCAGCAGCAGTTCAACTCGGAGTCTTCGGACTGCAGCGGAGAGCCTGCAGAGCAGCCACGCGGCACTGCGCAGCACGGGAGAATTCAACATTTCAAGTCAAATTAAATTAAATTAATTTACTTTATTTACTTTATTTATTTTATTTATTTTATTTATTTTATTTAATTATTAAGTCAACTCTTATTCGAGAGAAAACTCGAAAAGGCCAAAAAGGACTTCAACGACTCTCGGTTCTATGGTGTAGTGGTTAGCACTGCGGACTCTGAATCCGCCGACCTGGGTTCAAATCCCAGTAGGACCTCTTTTTTAAAATAAAAAATTATTTTTAATTTGAATTCTTTTATTCTTTTATTCTTTTTAATGAAATAAAAACAATTCGTCTTCGAAAAAATTCAAAAAGCCTTTTCTCAGAGTGAAACAACGACTCTTCAACTTTGAACACTTGCTGCCTCCCCTGGTTCTCCCCAAAAGAATCTTTTCTTGAATTATTAAATTAAAAGAATAATAATTAAATAATTAATTAATTTGGACATTTCTTTTGTTTTTATTCGAAAGAAAAGCAGTTTTTTAAGGTATTCAAGTTTGACATTAAATTCAATTTCGAAAGAAGTCAGAGTGCATTCGAAATGATTTCTTTTCATTTATTTGACTTCTTTTTATTTATTTTATTTTTATTTATTTATTTATTATTTATTTATTTATTTATCTTTATTTATTTATTTTATTTTCATTTGTTTATTCGTAAATGGTCTTTTTGTATTCATTTATAACAAATACCGTTTTGAAATCCAAACAAAGAATTCTTTCGAAATGTCTTTTCAAAAGAATTTAAAATCAGATTTAATTTTAACTTTCATTTTGTTGCATTCGAATTAAAATGTCTTCTTCTCAAGAACAAAATAATTCTTCTTTTGAACTGCTTCTAAATACAACCCTAAACCCTAAACCCTAAACCCTAAACCCTAAACCCTTGGCTTGGGGGCTCCAGCGTTTGCTGCTGAGCTCAGCATGCACCTCAGCAGCGCAGATCTGTCTTTAGGGGCCCTAAACCCTAAACCCTAAACCCTAAACCCTAAACCCTGAACCCTAAACCCTAAACCCTAAACCCTAAGCCTAGACCTAACACACTCACAGTAGAATCCTTAAAGGTTTCGTTATAACTCTGCACCGGCGGATTGCCACCTTAAACCCTAAACCCTAAACCCTAAACCCTAAACCTCAAAAGTGCTGATCTTTAGAAAGATGAAACGAAGCAAAGCCAAAAATGCACTGGAGGGCAAATGGCCAACAATAGTTACATAAATAAATAACTAAATAAATAAATAAATAAATAAATAAGAAAATAAATAAATAAATGAATAAATAAATAAGAAAATAAATAAATAAATAAATAAATGAATAAATAATAAGTCTTTATTGCTTGCGGATCCGTTTCTTTAAAACGCAAAGCAGAAGAGCCCCTAAAAGCTTGCCCGCGTCTGCCGCTGCTGCTGCCGCTGCTGCTGCTGCTGCTGCTGCTGCTGCTGCTGCTGCTGCAGGTCCTCTTCTGGTTCTTCCGGTAGCGGAAGAGACAAGTGGCTGCAGCAAACAGCAGCAGCAGCAAACAGCAGCAGCAGCAGCAGCAAACAGCAGCAGCAGCAGCAGCAAACAGCAGCAGCACGCAGCAGCAGCAAGCAGCAGCAGCAGCAAACAGCAGCAGCAGAACACATGCATTTCCAGTTGCACTTGTTCTTTCGCAATTTCATATGGGTCATTTTCCTTCATTTTCTTCCATTTAATCATTTAAAGACTTCAATTTTAATAAATAAATAAATAAATAAATAAATAAATAAATAAATTAATTAATTAATTAATTAATCAATTAATTAATTTGCAGATCCAGTTGGTGCATGTGTGGGTGTGCGCGCCCTGCGGTGTACGTACACCGCAGGCGGGCGTTTGGCGGAAAGCTGCAAAAGTGTAAAATGGGCGGAAAAGAAGCTTTTTTTTTGTTTTTTTTTGGACAAAGTGAAATAAAAAGTGAAAATAATGCAAATTAGCGTTAAAATTACGGAGAAAGCTGGAGAAATGGGGGAGAAAGCTGGCAGTTCAAGTTGTGGTGGCTCACTGCTTGCGCGCGTGCGCGATCGCTGCAGCAGCGTAGCGCAGGTAGTCCCGCTTCGCCCGGTAAGCCCGAGCAGCAGCAAGTCGGTTTCTCCTGCTGCTGCTGCTTTCGTAGTTTTGCTGCAGCAGCAGCAGCTCCAAAACCCCCGAAGCAACGCCCCACCGCCGCACCGCAGCCAGCGCTGCTGCTGCGCTGCCCCCCGGAGCCACCGCCACGCGAAACGCCATCCTCCTGCTCCTGCTGCTGCTGCTGCTGCTGCTGCTGCTGCTGCGGGGGTGGGGCTGCGGCTGCTGCTGCTGCTGCTGCTGCTGCGGGGGTGGGGCTGCGGCTGGGGCGGCTCCGGCTGCTGTTGCTGCTGCTGCGGCGGTTGTTGGGATGAGGGGGCTGCTGCTGCTGCGGGGCAGCAGCAGCAGCAGCGCCTGCCGCTGCTGCAGCGGCTGCAGCAGCAGCAGCTGCTGCTGCCCGCGTCTTGCAGCTGATGCTGCTGGGGCTTCTTGTGGCTTCTTAGTTTGCTTTTATTTATTTTATTTTTTATTTTTAAATTGTTTTTAATTTTCAATTCAAATTTCCTTTTCTCTTTTTCCCGCTGCTGCTGCCCAGCGCGAACAGGAATGGCCGCAGCAGCAGCAGCTGGGGGGTGAGGAGAGGCGGGAAGTTCGAAATAAGTGGAAAAAAGGATTTAAATTAATTTAAATTAATCAAAAATGAATAAATAAATAAAAATAGAAACAAATAAATGCAAAAAAGCAGCAAAAGAGTCAAATTCAAATCCAATTCCGACAAAGTTGAACTAGGAAACCCGCAGGCGATCTGCTGCTGCAGCGAGCTGCAGCAGCAAATCGCCTTCTTTTCTTTCAATTTAAACCCTTTTTGTTTATTTTTGTTTTCTTTTTTAATTTGTTTTTATATTTTTGTTTATTTTAATTTAAATTTAATCCAAAAACTCCTAAAGTACGCGAATTGGGGGCCCCGGGGGCCCCAAACCCTCTAGCCGGGGGGCCCCCTGGGGGCCCCCCTAGGCCATTTGTGCTTCAGCAGCAGCAAATCTGCTTTCGACTTAGAGGAATATATTACACTTTTTAAAAACCCTAAACCCTAGCAACAAAACCCGCAAACCCTAAACCCTAGCAACAGCAACAAACCCTAAACCCTCGTTAAAGCCTAGGGTCCACAGCAAAGGGGTTCAGGAGGCCAAAGCCAGCAGCCCAAACCCTCCGCAGCAGCTAGCCGTGGCTAGCTAGCTGCAAGCAGCAGCTAGCTGTGGCTAGCTAGCTGCAAGCAGCAGCTAGCTGTGGCTAGCTTGCTGCAGCCAGTTAGCCGTGAGCAGCAGCTAGCCGTGGCTAGCTAGCCGCGAGTAGCTAGCTGCGAGCACCAGCTGGCAGTGGCTAGCTAGCTGTGGATAGCTAGCTGCGGCTAGCTAGCTGCGGCTAGCTAGCTGCGGCTAGCTGACTGTGAGCAGCAGCTAGCTTCAGCTGCTGCTTCAGCTAGCTGCAGCGAGCCACTCGTTGCCAGCCAGCTGCGGCTGCTGCAGCGGCTGCTGCAGCGGCTGCAGCTGCAGCAGCAGCAGCAGCAGCAGCAGCAGCAGCAGCAGCAGCAACTGCTTCCGTCTAGAAGACTAACAATAGATGAATTCAAACAAACTATAAATGCTTTTCTATTTAACCCTAGCAATAGACAACTAGGGGCCCCTAAAGTCCCCCCTAGGCTGGGGGCCCCCCTGCTGCTGCTGGGGGCCCCCCTGCTGCTGCTGGGGGCCCCCCTGCT